AGCGGACAACAAGGTGAAGGAGGACCTAGTCACCACTCATCATCCCCTGATGGTAAGGTTTTCATATTTAAGGGGTTCATTTTTAGGAAAGAAGCAAAACACATTATTATAATATGAAAATGGGGCAAATTACATTGATATTTATCTTACTTCTATCAGTGCTTCCTCTAACATGATACAAAAACCATCTTTATTTTCAAGGCAAAACTAGAGAAGCTTGGCGGTATACATGTATGAAATTGACTATCCCAGTGTTTATAAACCCTATACATAGCAAGCTTCACTATGAACGTGCATTATCAATCACTAGGTGGTACAATCCTTTAGTTCGGTTGATAACATATAACATTTTTTCCTTTCATGTGAGGGGGGAGGGGGTGGCGTCTTTTCAGATACTAATACCAATGCACCGCAGTGAAAAATTACACACTACAGAATAAAAACATTTGATATCGTAGTTAGAAATAACAGTGCTGTCAAGATTAGTTTGAAATGAATTCAATTACCGCTTCGTTTTGTTTTATTGGAAGATAACAATTTTTGCTATTATAATCCGAGATCAATTTAAAGGTAAAATGCCCTTTAAGTATTTTTCTTGGGGAGGCGGAGGGGGGGGGGGTCTATCGATACCTTCCTGATAGCGAATGCCCTAAATCATCCAACATATTGTTTCTCTGATGAACGTCTATACATCTTCTTTCTGACAAAGTAAGTCCTGGTTCTACGATTATTTTGGCTTTTAGCGCAAAAAACATCCAATATTGCTGTTATTATCATCTATATTGGTAATGCATGCAGTATAATTATTATGATGATGGTATTGATGATGATTATTATCATAATTATTTTTGATGTTCTTATAAGTATTATTATAATTACCATTTTTTGTTATCATCGTCATCATCATCATGACAATCATTTCATCATCAGTATTACGATTTATATTACTGTCATTACACCATTTCCCCCTAGATAAATGGCAGGACCATACTGTGAGGCCAGCTAAGACGGGCCCTAACATATCGGATCGTAAGATGGTATGATTTTATAATATAAAGTATCAAATATCTTAGTAAAACCGCTTGTACGTGTGTTTGCGCGTGTGCGAGAAATCTCGTGGACTGACTGCATTGCTATCATACCACCCTTCCACTCACACAAACACCTCGAAAACACAAACAAACAAACGGCCAAACCGAAAAATATAATCCGATCGAGGTAACAAAATATCCGTCATACCACCAAATAAATCAAAATATAGACTCTAAACCGACAGAGTTTTGGCTCTTATACCCTAGTAACACCTGACTGACAGCAGACCGAAATGTGGGTTGCAGTTCGTTAGGCGGTGACTGGAGTCCATGTGGAGTCGGTTTGGTGATGTGACTTAGTTGGTCTCATGTCTTCCTCGTCGAGCCGGCTGGGGTATGACCCTGCTGGATTCAAATATTAGAAACCAAGCCAGGCCATCAAGTGAAGAAGCAGATAATATTATGTTAAAAGATAAAGACTGGGCCCCTTACAGTATACACTTTCCATGATAAATCACCTTGGCCGTTTTTCAAAATTAGAAATCGAAAACATCACAGCGTTCTTGTGTGTGGTTGTTGCCATTGTAGTTACAGTTGTTTTTGTTATTGTTGTTGTTTTAATGAATGTCTGCTTTAATCAGAATACAGCCCTAAATTTCTCATGAAATCTTGAAAAATCTTCCCAGAGCATAGGCCAAAATAACAAATAACTTCGAGGAAATGAAACGTTTACTCTTATTTATTGGCCAGATTTTTCTCAAGTTTTAACCATAAAATCGCAAATGCCACATTCTCTTCTCATTTTCAATGCCAATTAAGACATAATTCTATCTTTTCTAGGTTAAATTATAATTTATAACGACCTTTCCATTAGGGTTCCCTTGACATCGAGTATTTACATTTGATTATTGTATGTGGAAGTTAAATCGAAATTACAACACCTTCAATGTACTTTCATGGCTTCGGCTACAATTATCGGTGCAAATTGCATGTCAAGGAACACGTCCTGCCATGTACCCTTTTACCATACCTGGGTGGAGAGTGGCAAATGTAGGGCAATGTCTTACCAAAGGGCATTGGCTACATGCCGTAGCTCGAACCCACCATGGTAGTACCCCATCCTTGCCAAGTGGTGTAACCCAGACTCAACGGCTAAGGTACATGTATATTGCAGCAACAATAAATGTATATAATTATTTTCCTAATCAACCGATAAAGTGCATTGAAGTGCACGATCATCCAAAAGAGATAATGACTTTCCGTTGTACATGATGTTTATAGGAGTGTCATAGTGGAATGATTTAAACACTTGGCTGGAAATTGGAAGATCGTGGGTTCGATCCCCGGCACGACGATAATGTCTTTAAGCAAGCCATTGTATCTACATTGCTTATCTCTACCCAGATGTAAAATGGGAACATGGTAAAACAATTACCTCCCGTAAAACTCCCACCGGAAAATACCCCCCTCCCGTGGACGATTACCCCGAGGAAAATTATCCCCCTTTAAAATTACCCCCTAGGACAAATACGCCCAACCTAGGACAACCATCCCCGAGAACATTTACACCCCTAGAAATCCCCCCCCCCCCAACACACACACCTGCTCATTAAAGGGTTAGTCCATCCTGATAATAATATACATTTAAAGAAAGCATTTTTTTTAGGGGGGAATTGTCCTCGGAGGGGGGAGGGGGGAATTGTACTAGGGATACTTTTCCAGGGGGTTATTGTCCTTGAGGGAGTGGTTGTCGTCGAGAGAAAATTCTCCGGGGGGGGGGGGGGCATTGTCCTTTTGGGGTAATTTTCCCCTGGTAATTGGCCGGGAGTTGATTGGCCAGGGGGGTAATAGTCCTAGAACCCCAGTAGAATGCGACCATTCATGGGGTTGTACAGTGTGAGTCAAAACAAGTTTACACCTATAAAACTGCTAATTATCTTAAAAATCATCTATGAACAGTAAATTATGATACATCTCATGAAAGAGCGTTTTATCCCAAATCAATTGGTATCATTTTTGTGTGGTATGTGTACACGCTTGGATGAACAGGAGGTATTGTTGGCAAGAGTGCAAAAATCGACTTGCGCCAAAGTGGCTTATGTGATGCTTGAATAAAACAATTGGGATTTGGGTATTAATTCGGTCTTTGCAGATCCAAATAACATCCCTAACACAATTAATTATGCCACACATATCAAATATTGAATATCAACTATCAACAAACTTTTGCGCGCAAGTCGATTTTGCACTCTCGCAAACAATGCCTCCTGTTTATCCAAGCGTGAACACATACCACACAAAAATGATACCAAATGATTTGGGATAAAATACTCTTTCATAAGATGTATACTAATTTACTGTTCATATATGATTTTTAAATTAATTAGCAATTTTCTAGGTGTAAACTTTTTTTTGACTCACACGGTATTGGCACCTGTATGCTTGAAAATGGCACCTGGCTGGACTACTCCTCGAGAACGGAGCTTGTACACTATCGTGTGCGGATAAGTAATCGAATCCAGTGACCGGAGTATTAATAGTAACATTGTAAAATACTAAGAAAAGTAGTATTAACCGCTATACTTATGTGACTGATGTGTATTAGCAGAAAGAGAATGCGTTTGTGGTACCTCACACCCATTTATTGTTCTATCATTTCATTTTAAGTCTGTTCTATCAAGAGTATACAAGTTTATATTTCGAAATTTCGGTAAATACATTCACTTGAACTTTCACATTGGAAATCTGATCACTCATTTTCTATTTGTGTATGTTTTATACTGACATTAACATAACCGGGCTTTCTTGCGCATTTTATTTTCCTTTCAGCAATACGTTATGTGGGAATCTCCTGTGAAAGGAAACGCGCTCGTCATAGGCAACGCAGTCTTTGAACCACCAGGAAAGCAAAGGCTTTGGGCATATGATGATATCAGTAATATGGAAGGGCTCTTGAGGAAACTCGGATACGGATTTCGAAAAGATCACGATATCCGTAGAAACCTCTCCGAATCGGTATGTCAAAAGTTGTGACTACTCATCAAACAATAAATGAACGGAGTGTAACTATTAAAGTTACACATGCTTCTACCTTATATGGCTAGTTCTTGTATATTTATTTGTACAATATCGTACTACCTTGAACAAGTTTCGTTCCTGATGCACTAGATAAAAAACTATGATAAAATGAAACAACCTTTTAAATCTATTCAAATCTAAAAGTGGGAGATTCAAATACGTACACTTACGCGTACGTGTTTGTACAATTGTGAAGCTTGCGATAAAAGGCAACATTAGTTAAGCATACCCATAACGATGCGGCCAAACATAATATCATTTATTTCAAGATCATGTGCAAATTCGACGTACGACAGCAATTTGCGAGACATTAAATCAAAATTACTTGTATAAAAGCCTATCGCGTTTTAAATATAATACTTCATCCCATTCATCTACATTATGATGATTACTATCGCACATGTGCGCATGTCAAACTTTGCTCGAACCGTTTGGAAACGTACAGCTACAAATATATTAATAAATGTTAACACCTTTATGATTTATTCTGTGAAAAGAACGATTTAGTGAAGGTATAAGTAAATGGGGGAATATCAAAGCATCTATGTTAGGTAAAAAGCAGTGCTCTGAAAATGCCTTCATATTTCAAATTTAACTATAAAAGTTGTAAAGCTGTTGGTTAAATTTCGAAGGTACATGTAGACCTAACTGCAGTTTCATGTAACCCTATCTGTGTGCGGTGCTTTTAATTAGTAATTTTCTGCAGGGATGAGTCGGTCTGATAAAAAAAATACCCATCATTGCAGGATATTATAATATCATTACCCAATCACTCAAACTAACCTCTCGGAGTTTGTTTCACAATGTAATCGCTTAACCATACAGTTCTATACGCAACTCAGCCCTAAATACTTTGTCTAAAATTGGATTTATAAGTTCATCCATGCTTAATCAAATATGGCCTTTATCGCATAAACAGGAAATGAAAGACACTGTTAAAGAGTTCACCGAACAGCTAAAGAAGGACAATCCCCAATCAGCAGTGGTGTATATATCTAGCCATGGCAATGAAAAGGGCGTTCAAGGAAAGGACGGAGGGATACTCCAAATTCGAGATTTGCTGGAAATGTTTTCAGGAGTACTGCTTGGCAAACCAAAGGTTCTCATCATAGATGCATGCTGGGGAGGTATGGTAGAAATCGGTTGTAAGGAGCTATCTCTCGCGATAATTGCTCCTTGTCAATATCATACGCTAACCAAATTTCTAACTTTAATCTATTCTAACCCGACCTAAAACCCAATTCCAACATTAACCGTATTACTATACCTTTGACGAAACACAGCCAGGAGTAACTGTCGCAGAAGTAAATGTTGGATCACCTAAGAAATTATTTCAAGTACATTTAGCTTTGCCAGCTATTAAATATCGGAAGGAGAGACACCTTGCCTTGGCAGGAGGTGGGGGTGTTTCATCAACTTAAATTGATTTAGTTGATGAAACACGATCCAAGACTGCATTTCGACCAAAGCGAGCGTATTAGATGTTTTTTAAACTATTACACAAACCGGGATATAACAATACTTAACAAATGTATACTGACCATGTTTCATCAACTACAATCGATTTTAGTTGATAAAACACCCCATATCACACATTCATTATATATACTTACATTAGCCCTATACGGATGATGGTGATGATGTTTATAATGATCAGGATTATGATTGAAGTATTCATGATTATAATAACATAAATGATACAAATTTTAACAATATTTTGTCGCAGAAATGTAATATATATGGTGATTCTGTAAGACTAAACAAAGACACTAAAGAAGGTCATCCAAATGGACAAGCATGTTATTGAGCATTGATCCAAGACTGCATTTCTCGAACGACCAAAGCAAACGTATTAGATGGTTTTAAAACTTTTATACAAAACCGGGATAGAAAAGTACTGCCCATGTCTCTATAATGAGTTTTTATGAGGACCTAATACACTAGAACAAATGTTGGGTAAACTTATTTCAACATCGGGGTATTTATTTGTTCAACAATCCTTTGGGCAATGACGGGCCTGCCCTAACATTGGCGAGTTTAGCTCAATTTTCAGTGGTTTAATTGTTTACCCAGTCATTTCCACAGTATACCTTGCATTTTTAGCTTATCTCAATTACTTCACAGATATTCTTGACAAATACTTCACTGTACCTCCACCACTCCTCCGAATATAATCGAAATTAATTAAAAATACGGTTTCTTTCTTTTATACAAGATGATGAAACGAATCGCTTACCAATCTCTGCGTCCAGTTCTTCTTCAGCAGCATCAACCACAACTTTCTTACCGGAGAACGCTGATATCTTTATGATACACTCCACTTCATACGGTATTTACTACTGTTTTGGATGGGCCATTTTAGTAATGTAGTCAAATTAATAGTCAACGTCTTTGTTCACGAGCCTTGTTTGTACATAATAAAAGCTAATTTAAAGCACGAATCTTTGTTCAGTGCCCCGATACAAACTAATTCATCCACCTGTTACGAATAATTGTATTTCAATATAGTCAGAATGCGAATTTCGTACGTTACATGTTTGCTACGTCTACTTCTACTTCTACGACGATATTCAGCAGGATCCATAAGTCAGGATGTAGGGCTGAGGAATAAACTATCTAGTTCTTGGTCTAGATGCTTGGTTGAAGCGCTCCCTTGAAGCCCTCCAGTGAAATAGCGTCAAGGGTGACCTTTGAAAGTGCATTCTACGCAGTTACTGTCCGAGGGGGAAATGAGTTCTGATAGAGCTGGGTGCGGGACAAGCCGTAATATTTTTCGTACCGGGCAACAGCAATAGCAAAGTATTTAATTTTCTCTCAGTTAATCGCCTTAAAATAATATATTATGCTATTGAATGGATTAAACATTGTTAGGCTTTTTGTATTTTGTTTTCACACAGGAAAAAAAACATGGAGTTATTTAACTGAAGGATCCTGGTTGGTAGATGAGCTATGCAAAGTGGTCTACAACAACGACCGTGACCTTGAAGATTTGGATACCATCATGCTAAGGGTTAGTTTTCTTCCTAGACACCTGTTACTCCAAAATAACCTACCCGAGACAGGTTCCCTAAAACGCTGGCTCAAAAATAGTACAGATTCTAGACCTTTGGTTACACAGACTTGTCATAGGCTACCCAAGGCAGATTTTTTTATTCTTCTGCTTTCTGCATGCAGTATGTTTGGGCTGTCAACATGAGATAATCAATTGTCATGTGCACGCTAGTATACAGGCATAATATCAGAGACTCCTGTTTGACAATTAAAACAATTATATGAATGATTGAGTCTTGCCTAACTGGTCAATCTCTAACTTTGTCAAATGGCAGGAACAGCTTGTGACAAGAGCGTACTTTTATATACGGGTTGTATTCCATACAGTGAATGGTCTGTGGAAACTACGTGCATCATTCAAACCTGTCTCGGGTAGGTTTGCATAGGTTACACTTTACCCTTTGCTTTGGTATCAACATTTTTAGAGAGAATGGTTTATAACAAACTTTATGATTACTTAAATACCAAAGCATTGTTGAGCATTTACCAATCAGGATTTCGACCCAATGACTGGTTAACTTGGATAGATGACGGGAAAATTGTCCGTGTCGTAATGCTAGTTCTGAAAAAGGGGCTTTTGATACCGTTGATTATGAGTTACTATTGAGAAAATTGTATAATAATGGGTTGGATGAACCATCACAGTTATTGTTTTCAAATTATTTACAAGGTCGAGTGCAGTCTACATCTGTTAACGGTAAAATGTAAGATGTATTGCCAGTTCAATGTGGAATCCCCCAAGGATCCAATTTAAGAACCCTGTTTTTATATTACATTTAAAAGATTTGTCACTTGGCCTCAGTCACTGTTAAGTAAGCATGTATGCTGATGATACGGTAATTTATTGTTCGGCATATGATACCATAGAGTATTAAATGAAGATCTATAATATGTCAAAAACTAGTTGGAACAAAACGAACTAAATTTGAATATAAAGAAAACCGAATTACTCTTATTCGGTACCAAACAATGTTTGGATAAAGTTAAAGATACTGATTTAAACATTACCATAGATAATTTTTTGTTAACTCGATTTAGTAATTGTGTACACCTTTGGGTAATTTAAGATGGAAGATTATCATGGCAGGGACATGTTACTCCTTTTCATAAAATAGCAAATAACGGATTACATATGTTCAAAACTAGAAAAAATACAGTAAATGAATATAAAAAGAAATTGGTTTATAATTCACTAGTATTGTCTCACCTAAATTATTGTGATGTAGTATGGGGCAGATGTAGATTTACAACGAAAAAGAAATTACAACAAAAATCAGAATAGAGCAGCACGAATAATAAAAAGGTCCCCTTGGTATTCCTCATCTGATGTAAAACAGTTTCACAATGTTTATACATCATTTTTAATTATGAGTAAAATATAACATTAATTGATCTGATACCACTGAAGTTTTGGGTTTTATCAAAAATGAGCAATTTTAAAATAAGAGCCATTTTACTGTTTTAATTTACTGGATCGTACCATTAAAGTCGCAGTGTAGAAAGATGCATTTTCCAACCGCGCCTAATTAAATTTACGTACCGACATTCTGCTAAATGAGTTCGTGTTGTTTTACAAGAATCTACTGCTTTTTGATCCACTAACCGTCCATATGCGGAGTCGTTTATCAACTAAATGTATTCAAATTTATGTATACTTCCTTCCAATCCCATGTGTTTGTGGTGTTAAAGCATTCCATTCAGCTGTTATTATTCTTTGTACTCAAATTGCCAGAACGCAAATTGCATTTTGGTTTTATAGTTTGATTCAATAAGTAAGTCAATAAAATACTATGTTCTGCATAACAAAAACAATGTGTGTCCCTATTATACATGTAGGCTAGTGTGCCTCTCTCCAAATTGTACGTGTCATTCTTAATTGACCTATTCACATAATGGAACTACCTGCCCGTTGAAGCCAGTGGCCCGTGACCCCTGACCACTGAACACTGTGTGGTAGTCAGTTTGTGATCAATTTCTTGTATGAGACAAATCCAAGCAAAAGTTTCCATATATGAAAATTGAAGTTTGTTCATTCGATTTATGCTTTATGTTTACTTTGTGACCATGTGAAGGAAAACAAATTATTTGGAAAATAAAACAAAAATGTAATCTAATCTAATCTAATCACAGTATTTATTTTCCTCTTCAGAGGTATTTATGCGGTTATAGAATACATTTAACAACAAAATAATTGAAACAGAAATATACATTCACTTTACTCCTCATCTCTTTAAATCTTTACAATCAGATTAAAATCAGGACTATAATCTAATCACAGTATGTATCAAAAAGACCACGAAACCTTTATCCTTCTTCTTCTTATCATTGTTATATTAATTATTGATATTATTGTTATTTTTACTTTGACTTGTATTTCGGTGTATTTCACATTCCAGGTGACTACGGGAGTGCACGAAATTGATTCCAAGGACGAGGATAGAAAAAAAATTGGTACTCCGAGTACCACTGTTTTCAAACAAGGAGTGGGTCGGAAACTCTTCTTCTATCCTGGTTACCCACCTAACAATGTTTAACACCAAGACGTAATTACTAAGTTTGACATGTCTTTCTTTCAATTCGGTTCATTAAAAAATGCTTTATTAGACAACATGTTTTGCAGCAATAGGCTTAGTTCTACATGTACAAACAAGACTTTTTTAATATTAAAAATTCAAAATCCGTAGGAATAAAATTTCTATATGATGTCATATACTGTATTGTAGAAAATGTATCGATTGTGAATGTATCAATTGTAAATGTCACGTTAATGATCATTGATAATAGAATAACTTGCTTACTTTTATACTCATTATTGTATTACTACTTTTACTACTACTAGTACTATTATTATGTTCGACAAAAAAATGATATACAGACAAAAAAAAGGTAACAGTTGCAAAACATGTTATCAAACTCTTAAAATTTAAATATGAATATTATCAATACATATAAATATCTATCGCGATTGATCAATACATGATTAATGTGATTCAGAGGAAGAACCTTGATATTAATGCAATCGGATATGTAAAAATGAAAAGGAAAAGGCAAATTGCCATGTGGGATGTAAATGAAAATTAAAAAGGAAAAAAAACAAATGGATAGGAACAATTTTTTTTTTTGCAAATTGAAACAACAACAACCATACATAAAGTGATTGTTCAATGAAAAGCAAATATGCTACTACTTAAAGAAATATCAGAAAATGAAAAGTACATGTAAAAAGGAGTTGTTGTAATGTATTTAGATAATATCATTAGAGCCAAATCAGATCAACGTACAAAATCATTGAATTGTTTCATCGAATTGAATTTGATTTGATTTATTTGATATGCTTGAAGGTTTAGACACAAATATAACAAAAGGAAGGATATTACATCTTGAAACAATATTATAAGCATTGCAAGATTGTAGTTACATTATTGACAATTAAACACATTTGACAGTTTGAACATAATTGAAGGTAAGACTATTTTTATGTGGCATGTGAAAATGAGAGGCCTATTGAAAAGCATTGCTTAAAATGGTAAAACTGAAGTAAGTCTTAACATGAGTTAGTTGAGTTCTGATATATATAATCATCAATACATTATGCAGCTGTGAGTGTTTTTTAATGTGTAAGTTAGACAGAGATAAACCAGGATTTGAGAGTCACGATATCACGGAGTAAATCCTCTAGATTGTAGGGGTTAAAGCAATTGGAGTTAAGTTTAGATAAAACGGTGGTTCATGTATACGAAGTTTTTAATTCATTTAATAGAGACAACTTTCGGTGTTTTAATGTGTGAGCTTCGTTACCAAGTTTAATATTATTCCAATAATTTGGTCCAGGTTAGGTAATAGTTTCTGAGCAAAGGCTGTTCTCGTCAAGGGAAGATGATATCGATTGTGCAGTGCTTGTCCTGTAGGATAAGGGTGTATGTCATTATAACTCTTCATAGTACATTGACATGGGCCGTGTTTGTCATCAAGGAGTGTTTGTATTGAATTACTGAACGACATATCATTTGTCTTTTTTATGTTTAGAGACCATTTGTTTGCCCGTATGCAGCTATGAAAAGAATTAAGTTCTTAGTTCTCTTTTGTTAAGTAGGTTTATCGGATCATGATGGGAGCAAAAGATGTAAGATTCATCAGCGAATAGAATGAAAGATAACATGTTAAAAGCTACTTTAAAATTCGTTTGTATATAGTATGAAAAGTAGGGGACCAAGGAGTGATCATTGTTTTACACAACATGTTATTTCTTTCATGCAAGATTCTCAGCCATTAGTAAAAA